AACTAATGTCAAGTTAGTCAGTCATTCTATATGATTCAGAGACTTGAGGCGTCACCGTAAACATTTACAAAAGCCTACTGCGAACTTTTATCAACAGCTGCCTTCTCTACACACGAAAGATAAGATGGTATATTGGAAAGGGTTAACGAACCACTAAAGAACATGGTGTCCAACATATATATGTCAAAGCAAATGGGGATGGATTGGAAACTAGCTGAGTGACATCATGCACCTGGGAGACCCTCGAGTGGAACGTGAATAAAAAAGGACAGTTTTGGCTTTCGAGAGTGGCACTGAAGTGATCATGTGGAAAGGAGATGAGTGTTTATGGGTGATTGTTGAGACAGGTAGACAGGACTTGAGAGAACCGGGTGAAACTGCTATTAGCTCCATCAGAAGCTCTATTTTTTTACTCGGAATCCAAAGGAATCTTATGAATAATATAAAGCTTATATAGCGTATTTATAATGGCATATATTGATGATCATATCTTGTATTCAATTTTAAAGAGGATGACAAACACTCAATGAGATGATAAACCACATTCACAGAGCATTACACGCACTCCTTTAGTTACGTGCCCACTAAATATAAAACAAATATTGTTAAATGTTTTAAGACATGAGCAAGAGAGATCTCTACGTCTGATCACTTGCGAAAAGAATATGAATATATATTCATGATTCCTTGACATGGAAGGGCTATTCCAGTAGTTTTATGGATAAACATTAGATAGAAAACCTCAGTGAGACGTTGACCGCATGGCAGAAACCTCCCTTGATTAGGTTACAGTTGAATGGGTACTTATCTAGTGAGATTTTGTTTCAAAGACTAGCCAAAATTATACATAGAACATTTGATGAAGGGGACTTATATTTGTTATTCTCTAGTCGACGAATGATTAGGTCACTCAAATGAAGGATAAACTAGATAGTTTTGCCACATCTATGTGCATTTATCAGTTCAACTGAACCTTTGGTAACAGTTATGTCAGGCGTGCTACTAGACAGCTTAGTCAACATTTTACTGACCACTTCCTATCGTGGTATGGCAAGGGACAGACAAAAACAATCCGTAGCCCAATTTTATCACATTTAATTGATAGTGGTCATGTAGTAGAGAAAACGGAAGCTTTCAAAGTAATTCATCGTATCCCACCGAATCTCTTTCAAATAGACTTCGTATTCGTCTACTGCAGGCACACAGCTGAGGCGATAGGCATGGGAACATTTAAGTCAAAGCTATGCTTTCAAAAGAAGTCTTTACAGCCATTATCTCTTTCCCTTGACGTATTAAGGCTTAACACCAACTGATGACGTCACAACCACCACCACCACTCCCTACTTATAATTTCAACCACTCTCTTATCACCTCTTAGTCTTATCACGTCTTCATTAAGAGAGATTTTCTTTACTGTAGGTATATTTAGTATTTTAATCTGGTAGACTTCTTCAGACTAAATATGAAAGTTTATTTTTGTTAGTAGCTATTACGTGCCATAACTTTGAATTGGTTTTATCTGTCAGGCAGACCTATACAATCACTCAATCATGGTCAATCAGTCATTCAGTCAATCAGTTGAAATAATGTCAAGATTAAATTAATTGCCTATAAAAATAGATGAATAAATAAGATTGAATAGCTTTCAATCATCACAACAACAATAATTAGTTAAAACTATTATGTTGAGATGATATTTGTACACATGAAATCATAGAAAAGATTTTCAAGTATTGGTTTGTAGGGATTTCGATTGATTACTTACAGGATTTCATTATGAGGTGACATTGGTTAGAGAACCATTGGAAAACCAGTGGGGAGTACTGGACAGCTGGTTCATCCTAGTTTGGGACTCTTCAGCAGTACGCACCCACCAATAGGGTTCGAACCCAGGACCTTCTGGTTACAAGTGGGACTTGATCCAGTCGCCGACCCATGATTTCTAACTTTTGCCTAGTCGCGATATAGCGCAACCGCTAGCCAATATCTTCGATGAGTATTTGTCCTCACACCCAACCTGCTGCAACCTACTGGTCACGACTAACTAACTCCCGTGAACGTTTCTTTGGTTTGTGTGATTGATCTAATTACTGAGCTTTCATTCGCCTCCTAGACAATAAAAATCTTCAAAATGAGGTAGGCATTCGTTGAAAAATCTCTAGTGACAATCACTCATTATGTGATTGTTAACCGTGGTGGTTATTCCATTCGAAAGGAATTCCTTCCTCAAGTTAGCGCTGAAGGTGTATTGTCTATAGGAGGTGAATGAAATTTTTGCGATGAGACTATCCAACTCAGAGAATTTAAAGGGTTCAAAATAATCATACATGGTGTCAAGTGTCAAAGAATGTTTTATATATCATTAAAAAATGCAGTTTGAGGGTGAGACAGTAACTCATCGAGGAAGACATTGCGAAGTTGTCGTGCTGTGTTATGAATTTATAGAAGCTAGAATTTATGGGTTGGTCATTGAATCGGGTCTTAGTGGCTTAATGGTCTACGAACTTACTGGCCTTGCAACTAGAAGGTCCTGGGTTCTAACTCTGGTGCTGGGTGCGTATTGCTGAAGAGTCCAGAGAGACTGGGACGGGGGAAACAGCTGTCCAGTACTCGCAGGTGGTTTTCCAATGGTTCTCCAACTGATGTCAGCTCATGAGATGAAATCCTCCAACCAATAAAACAAAATTCCTGGCAAAACGAATACTTGAATGACTTACAAGACAGAAAATCGAAAGTACGGTGTAGTATTTCTGCGTTATTTAACCTCTGAGATACACACAGCTAGTGTCATGTATCTATTCCTTAGCGTGTTGACGAAGACTGTGTTTTATCAGTCCCATGGGTGATGGTCAATCAGTCTATCTCGGTGACTACAATGAAAACTTGTCCAATAGAATTCAGTATGCACCATCACCGAGGACTAGAATCATAACAAGTCAGTGTATTCTTCACATTCCTATAAGAGATCAATAGTAACGTCTTTGGCTGTAGCACTGGGTGATAGAGATTTAAATTGTTAGGGAAATATGACAACCTTCAAGGATGTGGGTATGCCTAATTTTTAACAGCTTGAGAATGAGATCGTTGAAACGAGTAACACTTCATTCACTGAACGCCTCCTGATTTTCAACCATAGGTGGCTACTTTCAAGTAAATGTGGAGAAGAATTGGTCTTACTACTCTAAAACGACTAATAAGTCATGTACATTGGAATCCAGCTCTGTTTTTCCGTTTACAAGTTCTTTCGAAATTGATTTTTGTCTACTTACGAGTAGTACATATTTGAAGCTTAAAAAACGCTGGAGGTAATTAGATAAGTACACTATTTAACAACCTCTGGGTTCAATTGTAGAATGCTTAACAGTCACTTACGTCACCTGTGGTTTGATTTCCAACCAACCTACTTCTAATTATAGCCTGTATCAATTCCTAGTTTCACTGAAACTTCATTTCTGCGTGTAATTGGGTCCAGTATTTAGCCACTAAAAGATTTTTAACACACTTTGGTAAGCTTTGAGTCTGATTAGTGTGAATATAGATATATTTTTATCATTTTTACTGGTATTCCTTTGGGTTCCGAGTGGAACAGCACATCTACACTTTCTCCTATTTCTTGCTGTCCTCTTCATCTGACTCCACGATTGCCCAATAGTCTGTGATCTTCTCTTCAAACGAACTCCTCCGTATAAACCCTGGTAAATATAGGTAGTTATTGGGAAAATAAAAAGGGTGGATGAAAAGGGGGGTTATATCGCAGATGAGTAAATATCAGAAATCTCGGGCCTATCCACTTGTTGGATGATGTTGACAGTTACGGATTTAATCCTCTGCTGAGCGAGCGATGGGAAGTGAGTCGTTTCAAAGTCATAACGTTGGACAAAACCAGTATTCAGTAGTTGTTTTTTAGTGGTTTTGCCTTTGTATATACGTGTGTATTTATGGAATTCACCCAAACTGAATTTACAGACTTAGGATTTACTTGTTGCCAAAGAAAAACCTCCTCAACTTAGAGTATGCGAATGATATTATTCCAATAGATGAAGACGGTGACAAAATACGGAGTCTTCTGAAGAAAACCTTGAGTAGAAATCTTCGAATGTTTGGCGTGTGGTTCGATCCTGTCAAGTTTGAGATGATACTACAGGACTGGACTAAGTCGACTTCTAGCTTGAGAGCGAATCGGTAAAGCGTGTTGACCATTTCAGTTATTTGGGAAGTTGCATCAACCCCAGTAGGCTGATTACTGACGAAATCTCATACACCAACTTACTCCATCTCTGGTGTAGACATGGTATCCGGCTATCTTTCAATCAGACAAAGTGTCTATTGCTCTACAGTTCGTTCTGTTATTCTGTGTGGCTGTAAGACATAGCCACTGGAAGTGAAAGACGTGAAGAGGCCAACTGTCTTAGGTAATAGACTTTTGCTGCCTACCTCCTATGCTGAGCGGTATAAATTAAAGAGAAATACTGAAGTTAGGCGCAGAATGTTAGGTAAATTGAACAAGTCAATCGATAAGGTTATGACGTTACATCGATTGAGATGGCTACGACATGTGCCAAGCTTGCTGAGTCACCGTCTTCCTCTACAGGCAGTGTAAGATGAAACAGGATTGGGGTTGGAAAAGAGTTATGAGTGATGGTCAAGCCAAAACTTGGAATCAATTCATTGAGTTTTTGACAGTTGGTTTGAGGCACCCACCTGAGGAGGTGTAGACTGCTATGCGGCTGGGGTGCTCGAAGTGCTGAGGACCACTGGTTTCAGACTAATGTTGATGAAACGGCTCAAAGTCGTTGTCTGATGCGCAGATGAGTTCTTTATCCCGTACTCTTTTTGGAACTCCTTTTTCCCTACCATTGTATGTACTACTCTTGGAATGTGGCAACTTGAAAGGTAGTTCCGAATAATAAATTTCACAATAAATTATGCATAAATTTATGAATAATTAATAAAAAAATTAATGGTTATTTTTTTACTTATATATTATTTTCATTGAATAGATTTTCTATGTTGGCTGTACAGCTGAAAAACATTCAGTTTCCAATTGTTTTCAATTTCCTGTACAAAAACCTACCAATCACATGATATCACAACATTTCAATGACAAAATGAATAATGGTAGTAATCATAATATTAATAGTAATATTAATACTACTACTACTACTACTACTAATAATAATAATAATATTAATAATCATAACAATAATTCAGGTAAGCGGTGCAAAGTGATTATTATTCGAACATATTTTTTATTTTTGTTTTAATGTTGTTCAGTTGTGTTCAATATTTCTGTATGTTGAACATTGGACAAAGTGGAGTGCTGTTAAGACATGCCTCCAAGGTTCACCAGTCTCATTGAACAAGTCTACAAGTAGGGTAGATAAAGATGTTAAAGCCAGCCATAATCGAAAAGGCAATACAGATCCTCATAACGCTGAAATCAACTTGGAAATCTTCTGCAATCCTCACCATAATGAACAAGATTAGGATTTTCAACGTGAATGTTAAGTCAGTCAGTTCTTCTGTATGGGTCAGAAACTTGTACTGCGCATGCGTCACGAAAGGCATTTCCAACAGGATGGTGTAGATTTTTGTCAACAGCTGTCTTCTCAGCTCCACACTTGAGATCTAATAGCAAAATGGAACTCTAGAAACCAGCCAACCAAGATCCTATTTTGAAGAGGGCAAGGACCCATTGCAGCACTCCCACCTTAAAGGGGAAAATTGAAGAAAAGTATCTCATGGACGTCTTCAAAAAGAATGGATATCCCCGGAATTTCGTCAAAAGACATATACCCTCAAGACAACCTATCAAACCAAAAGCCTCCAAGGAAAGCACAAAGAAAATTGCCTTACCATACATAAAGGATATCTCAGAAATCACTACAAGACTCTTCAAAGCTCTAGGAATTGACGTCGTACACAAACCAACAAAGTCACTTCACTCAGTTCTCTGTCGACCAAAAGACTCAGCAGCAAAAGATGAGAAGATGAAACTGACATCATCTACAAAATAAATTGTAACAACTGCGAAAAACACTACATTGGTCAAAGTGGACGTCCCCTTCCTCTTCGTATCCACGGACATAAGCTAGCCGTCAAAAGAGATGATATCCACTACCTCATATCACTTTATACAGACAACCACGGACATCAATTCGACTGAGACATTGTTCATACATAAGACAGAGAAAATACAAGACTGCTAGAGAATGTTTAGAAGCCTGGAATTCCAGTGAATCACCAATCAATAGACACATTGAAATAGACAAAATTTATCAACCGATAAGAAAGAAGCCTCACACACACACAAAGGGTCAAAGTTCAAGTCAAAGAAACAATCAGTTCCAATACAAGTAGCTGCCTAGAAGGTGTGAAAACACACAAAAACAACCAATCACGTCCAACGTCATCCATGGGGAGAGATGATTAATAAACGCGTGGAGAAATCTGAAAGCTCACTTCAACAGATTGAAGTATGAGCTGAAGCTGTCGCCTAGTAAGATGGGCGATGAAAGCTTCGCAAATTAACTATCCAGCTCAGAGAACACAACCCCATCAAAATCATCCACCTGAGCTACAAATCTTCTCTATCATATCCAAGAGTCTATTGCTTAACAAATATGGTAAAGAAAATGGAGATGGGTTTGACACACACTGAGGAGGCCGTGGAAGGACGTCTCATGCCAGGGTAGCGCTCGAGTGGAACATGAATGGGAAACGGCAAGTTGCGTGTGGCTCCTAGGATGACCTGGGGGATGGATCGTGTGAGGAGGAGATGAAAGACTATGGGCGATTGCGCGGCCAGCTAGGGAGGACTGTAGGAAATGGAAAAATGGATATATGCTGTTGAAGCCGTATGTTTCACTCAGAATCAAAAGGATTAGTAATAACGAACAAGTCATGCCATTCCTCGGTAGTAAATGTTGTTTGATTGTCATACTTTGCTAGGCATCCAGCTTCAGAATTTAGAATATAAAACTGCATCTTCATGGCTTCATGCTAGTGTATGTGACTTAAAGGTCTCGTTTTTACTTGTTTCCTGGTGTGACGCTGATTCAAATCGGTATGATTTCAGGGGATTTTCTTTAGCACCACACAATAAAACAATTATTTTGTCATTGTAGAGAAAATGAAACTCCGTCTTATTTCTCTGGGATAGATTTTATTGACTGTCTGATATGACATTTGCAGTTAACTTAGGTTTATGATTTGGTACCTGCTTGGTAGGTTATGTTTAATTTTAGTGACAGATTGATTGTCATTTAGAGAACCATTCAAAACCATCATAGAGTACTGGACAGGTATTTTATCCTAGTTTAGGAGCTTTCAGGAGTATGCGCCAACGATCCCACTATGGCTTGAACCCTGGATCCCGAAGCTTTTGGATATTAATTTAATGTTCACTGGATTCCAGCTGCATGATGCAGTTACCTTGAGTTCCAGTGAGAATTTGTATCTAGTGGGGATTCCACTACATTGAATGTAAGGACAGGTTGGTACTTGCTCGTGAAGCAGTGGGTAGGGGTTGAGTCAAAATTGCAGATTGACAGAGTTCGAATTCACAGGTCGTTGAAATCCAGACCAAGTAGGTTGAATGCTCAATAAAATTGGCTTCGTAACCTGAAGGTACCCATGTTCAGTCCCCATTAGGATCATGAGTGCTGAACAAGGGTGAAACAGTTGTCCAGTATTCCGTGATGGTGTTTTCAGTAGCACTCAAGGTGATGCCAATCCATGACCACACTTGAAATGAATCAAATTCCTACTAGATAACTCTTGGAACTTTATATTTGAGTTAACCAGGTCATTATTTATATACATGAATGGTAATCAGATTCACTATAGCAAAAACCAAGGGTTGGAGTGGAATTAGAATGATGCCATCATTTGATTTACGTTGGTTTCTTATTAGCCACATACAATATAAAATTTTGTAATACACTTGCTAACGTAACATGATATCCGTTTAACAGAAGACTGCAAATATTATAAGCAAACGATGCTTAGATGTTATTTTTGCACAGCTTATACACAGACGATTCAAATGTATAGAGCTCAACTCTTATACAAGCTTCAGTATGTCAAAAGCTCCAAAGAAGTCCTTATTCTTTAAATTTCACTTCCACGATGATAAAGTTCAAGCGAAATAATAATACAATACCTAAAGGGTACTGTAAAAGGAACATTCAGTGCAACAGTGGTACACTGTCTCTTCACAACCATTCCAGATTTACGTTTTGGGATTAAGCCTCCTGTGAATGCGTATCTACGAGTTTGACTTCTCCTGTAAAGCTAGTTACACATTAGTCATACAACTAAGCATCATATTCATTATAGAATTTCTGAACATCATTCTGAATGGATAAGCAAGGGACGAACAAGGGGTCTCTTCATAGCTCTGTTTTAGCTCACCTTGTGTGGACACTGAACCTAAAGTTGACATTTAAAAGTCATTTAAAATCATCCATGACACTCTGATTAATCCTAATTTTTTTCAAGTCTGATCACGTACTGATATCGATCAGGGAATCCTAGAAAACCAAGTAGTACTGGACAGTTGTTTCCTCCTAGTTTAGGACTATTTAGCAGTATGCTTCTATGACGCCACCTCCAGGATCGAACCCAGGACTTCACTGTAGGATTCAGGCAGACTGTTCAGCCATTGGGTCCCGATCCAATGAAGGATATTTCGGATTTGAGTATCTAGGTTCCTACTGCTCTTCGGAGCTGTGAGACTGTTTTTATCTAAAATCGATATACCGATGTTTACTCTATTTGATAGTTTCATTTGAATTTTTTGACACTACTATGAATAAAACTCGAAAACTGACCATTTCTGACAGAAAAAGGCCAAATGACTGAGGTGGCTGTTCATTAGCTTTGAATTTGTTAATCTGGCTTCCAGGCTCTCCAATGGTTCTCTAACTAATGTCAGCTCATGAAGAAATCCTGTAAACCAATCTGGCTTCCTGTCTGTCTGTTTTCAAAATAGAACTTTGCACCGATGTGCAGCAGTTCAAGTCGCCAGACTCCATGTAGCACACAAAGCAAGAGAAGAAAGTAGAAGAAATGCAAAATCGAGACAGTAGACAGGGATATGAGACAAAAGGAATAGTAATAACGTAGAAGAATATAGTTCCATTGGAAATTGTTACTCACAAGGAGTGGGTGCATCTGCGCCATTGAGAACGATTTTGAGCCATTGGCTTTTACCGTCCCAAGAACCCCAGCCAGTCAGAAAGTCTACACCCCCCTACTTGGCTTAAAATAACTGTTGTGGATTTCATTGACTGGTGCCATGTTTTGGTTTGACCACTAACATCTCTAGCTCTTTTCCAACCTGGTCCTATATGTTAGCAATCATTGCCCGTCGAGGAAGGTGATGGCTAGGCTAGGCATGCGTAACTCATGTCCTAACCATCTCAGTCGATGTAGCCTCACAGCATCGTCGATTGATTTCCCCTCCTCACCTAGCACTCGACCAACGCCTAACCTCAATATTGGTCACCCTATTATACGACTTCACACGGGAGATAGGAAGCAGGCACCTATGATCAAAGACATCTAGTCTTTTCATGTCCTCCACTCTCAATAGTAGTGTTTCGCTCACATCCATGAGGGAGGATGGAGTAGGTTGTTGAGCAGTACACACTTTCTTTAGTCGATAGCCGAATAACACGTCTACGTCAGAGATGGCGTAAACTGGTATCCGTGTTGAGATTTCGGCAGTGATTAACCCATTGGGACTGATGGTACTTCCCAAATAAGTGAAGTGGTCAACACGCTCTACCGCTTCTCTCCCTATTTCTAAGCTAGGAGTCAATGTATTTCAGTCTTGTAACGTCACCTTGTACTTGAATTTCACGTTTAATAAATCGATACGCCTAGTTATGAAACCTATTTTTGTAAAACTATAGTTTGGCGTGAGTAATTTCCTGCTATCCTTACTTTTCGTAGCCAAGTTATGCTCTGATGGACCTCACTAGAATGCTTTATGTAAATGTATACAGCAGAAAACATTGAGAAGGAGTTATGAGAAATCCTTCAGAGTTAAGTATATTGGTTTCTATTCGTCTTCAGGAGTCGAGACATTGTACTAGTGTGAAAACTATGTACTAGTCTCCAGTTTGTTGATAGATTCACTCAAATTGTTTTACACTACTAGCAGTGAAAATCAAAAATTGATTATTTCTGAGAAAAGAGATCAAATGACTGAGGTGGCTGTTCATTGGGCTTTGAATCCACTGATCTAGCTATCAGATGGGATAAATCGATACACCTAGTCATGACACCTATTTTCATTTGTTTTTGTGTCATGCGTTATTTTAAATTCATCTTCATTCTACTTCTTCCTGATCTCCTCACATCCATCTACCATGATCGCCGCCAATATATTCATCCTCAACCAGACGACAATCAATCAATGTTCAATGATTCCGATAACTTTTATCGTATTATTCAACATGATCATATTGCTTATCGTTATGAAATATTATCTTTACTGGGGAAAGGAAGTTTTGGTCAAGTTGTCTCCGCCTATGATCATATGAAAGGCTGTAAAGTTGCCTTGAAGATAATTCGTACAGAACCACGTTTTACACGTCAGGTTAGTGATGATTGAATTTTACTGTGTTAGTAAATTAGTGTTAATCCCAACTTTCCTTTCTATTCCCTTGTTATATTTTTAGTATTTGTGACTTTAAAGGATGAATGAAATTCCTTTTTTTTCCAGAGAATGAACACATTACATAGTATATTTATCATTGTGAATATAATGCCCATGTTGTTCAGTTTAGTAACTGAATCGACTCTTCTCCTGACTCTAACACTTGTTCTTCAACGCTTACATTCTTTGTTGGAATTGAGAATAAACAATTTCTTCACGTTTGGAATTTGCCAGACAACTCTCACATCATTTAGTGTCTTTTCGTCAATCAAAGTCTTTGGTTAGTTAACTAATTAAATCGGATTTGGCTGAAATGCAATCGATGTTGTATGTGTCTAGTCTGTAGTCCTCCTTTATATCTGTGAGACATCATCGTTGAAAACGGAAGATATGAAAAGACTAGTTGTTTTTGATCAGAGGTGTTTGTGTTCTATCTGCCATGGTAATATCAGGTTAGGCGTCGACTGCGAAGGTAAGGAAATAAATCAATCGACGAGACTGTGAAGTTGCACGGACTGAGATGGTTATGACATTTGTTATGCATACCTAGCCATCCATCGCCTACCCTGACAACAGGCAATGCTAGCCACTGATATAGGATGCAACAGGTTGGAAAAGAGCTAGGTAGTGGTCAAACCAAAATATGACTATATCAGTCAATTAAACCCAAAACAGTTAGTTTAAGCCAGCCACATAGGGAAGCGTGAACTGTTGTCTGGTTTAGGTCCTGAGGATGATGAAAACCACTAGTTGGAGACTATTGGTAGTTTGGCTCGAAATCGTTCTGAATGGATGGCAGAGGTGCATCCACCCTTTGTGATCCATAATATTTAACAAAGCTGTATTGTTCTTACATATTACTGTTCTCTTCCCCTAACACGTGTGTCCATTATACCTTTTTTGAATCTCTCTTACCTGTCTTCTCTTGCTTTGTATGCTACATTGAAGGAGTGTGTCAACTCGAATTGCTGCATGTCTGTAAAAAGTTACAGTCAGTCTGTTGGCCTAGTCTTTACATTGCTGTTGGTGACTGAATTTTCTTAATTAATTTTTTAAAATGTGGTCACTATTATACCGTGGTGCACTTTATTATTACATTAGTGGCTGATCAATGTACCCACTACTCTCTCTTTCACGGATTCATATCGTTTCCCTAAGTACCTTCGTGGTAGCATCTCTGACTGTATTTTTGAGTGATGTGGGTTTGAATCTCAGAGGGGACATCAGCCTCTTCGAGGTTGTAGATAGCCCTTGTTGAAGATAAGCAAGAAACCTAGATGTATGTCTTCTTGCCCATCGCTTTCAACCGTAAAGTCTAGATGACACAACACTTCCGGGTACTGTGATGCACATCATGGCGATTCGGAGATATCGACAAAATGCTTCACATTCTGCGTGAACTTGGTGAATTTATGTGTCTATTTAGCCAAAATCTTTTGAAATATGCTCAGAAAACTGCACAGTAGCTCATTATTCTCTCCTTTCAATGTACTTTCTACAACAGATGGATATAAATTTATAAACGTAGTTGAATATGACATCAGCACTTTAGACTGATTTATTGATAATATGGTACTGTATAACGATACGAGCTTAGCTACATATTTTCACTGTCCCCTTATTCTTTTGTCAATCCTTTGAGATGTTGCTCCTGCTTTTCGTATGAAAGACGAATAATAGACTACTTATTTAACAGTTCAGGGTTTCATTTTCTCTGGGCTTTTAATTTCCCTTACCTCAAGATAAATCCATTAGGGTATCCATTCTCTCTGTAGGCATTTTCCAGAAAAGTCTAATTCTTTTATTTAGCTTTTTAAGTGGAGATAGCTTCCATTATAGATAAGATTAAGATAGGATAAGATACTCTACCACAGTGCCCAAGTTTTATACTTATATCAGTAATACATATGGAGATAGCTTCTTATCTCTGTCATAGAGTGTCCTGACTAATTCACATCTATCAAGGGAACTAACCACCTATGTGACATTTCAGACTACTTCGTTTATAAGATGAACTTATGATTAGGATTACGGGGTTTGCCGTCGGAGTTTGGAATTGTTCCAGTGTATATTTGGTTGGGAACAAAAATAAGTTAAAGAGATCATTGAAAACTAGACAGACAGCACAGTAGACAGCTGTTTCGTTTTAGTTTGGAACTCTTCAACACTGGATACTCACGACCCCACTAACAAGAGTCAAACGCAGGACTTTAAGATTGCGTGGTGAGCTCAGTGACCATTCGCCTACTTTGTCTGGTATTTAATGACCTTTGAATTCTAACCTTATCATTCCATGAAGAGTCCCCAACTAATATTGACTCGTAACGAAACCTACATTGAACCTCGAAATTATAACTTGAAAGAGAAATAATGAATGAATAAGCTGTCAGAACCTAAAAACATAGATATTAATCATTTTTCAAATATATATATATATATATATATATGTGCGTAAATATTTAAATGAGACATTTCTGGTTGAAATACCCGCGTATGTGTATACACTTTATGCATTTAAACAAAAGTATGTCATATTTTAAACATAAACTATGTGAGTAATGCATTGTCTGTTACACATTCACACACACGCACGCACACACATGCTGACATACAGAAACACATCCTTCGCATATATTTTATTATTCACAGACGAACTATACATATATTAAGTACGCATATAAAGAGAGATATAACAGGTAATCAATTATATCACAGTGTTCAATAGATTCTTGAATTCTTTCTTTCTTTTCGTGTTATGTTTGTTCAAATTGATGATTTCAATATGAAGAAAGTTGATTGATTTTTTTGCCTTCAGTTAAATTCAGTATGTTAAATCCGAGTTAACATTCATTTAAGTGTATTATTTATTCATATCAAAAAACAAAAAAAAAATTAAAAATAAAGTATTAAGGTTGTGTGTGTTGAAATACACAGATTATTGTACAGTTTAGCATTTTATTTATCGAAAATAAAATGAGACTGTTGACTTTCTATGTAGTATGTTAGTAAAATAAACACACACTTTATTGATGAAGTTTGTGAAGTCGTGCATATGTATGTGTGTGGGCTTATAAAATAGATGGAGAGAGATATGTGTTGAGATTGGGGGTAATAAGCATTTAAAATGCAAAAAAAGATGAGACTTAGGGAATCAGCATACTACCTGGTATGCGTGACCCATCAGGGAGTCAAATCAACCAGTCATTGGATCGAACCTGTTTAACTCTGGTCGTCGCCGATATGCATACGTTGGACTGATCAAACCGCTCTAGAAGATTTTGATGTGGTTGTGTTCTCTGAGCTGGATAGTTAATTTGCGAAGCTTTCATCGCCCATCTTACTAGGCGACAGCTTCAGCTCATACTTCAATCTGTTGAAGTGAGCTTTCAGATTTCTCCACGCGTTTATTAATCATCTCTCCCCATGGATGACGTTGGACGTGATTGGTTGTTTTTGTGTGTTTTCACACCTTTTAGGCAGCTACTTGTATTGGAACTGATTGTTTCTTTGACTTGAACTTTGACCCTTTGTGTGTGTGTGAGGCTTCTTTCTTATCGGTTGATAAATTTTGTCTATTTCAATGTGTCTATTGATTGGTGATTTACTGGAATTCCAGGCTTCTAACAATTCTCTAGCATTCAAGAGACGTTAACACTGATCCATTGTGGCTCATGATTGACCTCATTTAGGACTGTATTGGACTAGTTACTAACTACTGCCCAATCAAAAGTTCCTAGCTTTTCTGACTGCAGCACACAAGGTGAGACAGGTTTGAATCTCCTCAGACGTGACATGAGTTCGTTCAAGGTTGCAGATACGCCTTTTTGACTGGTGGGTGCAAACTAGCACGAAACCTAGGTTTGGGTAGGGCTTCCTGTGGCCGATTGCCTCCAACCATATGTCTGGAGATCGACTGCACTAACTAAGCATGAAAAACGCGATTCAGATTTTAGAACACTAATGTCATGTCATTTATTATGTATGCTGTGGAGACACGGCGTGTCGTCAGAGGCATTTGGAAAAGGCTTCAGACATCTGCTCTGGTTCCACACTGAAGACCAGATAGTTGGTCAGAAATGGTTAACAACAAATTAATCAACAAACTATTGTACAACAGATTTGTCTAAGAAACTGGAGATGGAGTTGTCATACTCCGAGAAGGCTGTTGAGAGTGGCATGACATCCCCAGCTGGTGAGTAGTAGTAACAAAGGGAGATAAAAAGAGTTGGGCATCCAATAGTGACACATGTAGGAGGAAGAAATGAAAGCTTGTTTGCAATAGTAGAGTCAGCTAAGAAGGATTGTAGTAAGCAGAGTGAAATGATGATACTCTCTGTTCCACTTGGAACCTCAGAGGAATAATACAGTGTACAATTTCTACCGAAATCACAGAGTAATTGGTACTGACAATCTCTTATCATTATGTAGATAATTTCATGGTTATGTGTGAATTGAAACTGAATACTTCTGAAGAGTTGTCAATAGGTAGAGAGGAGAAAACAAACAAAATTATTCGTTGTGGTAAGGTGTCAGCAATGCATTATTTCGTGGCTAGTAAGTATGGAATTAGTTCTGTTCTCTAATATGGTTGACAGTTTAATTGCGAAGCTTTCGTCCTCCTTCTGCACAACATCTTCAGCGTAGGTTTTAGCATAGAATGAACTCATTCAAATTCTCCATGAATGATGTAATCGTATCTCCTGGCGACCACTGTCACGTGACTGGTTGTTAATATACGTCTCTATTGATCATTTTTATTGACTTGGAATTCGAAGTAAGTAAGTATGTGTACAAGATTTATGATCGGTGAAACCACATATATCAGAGTTGCATAGTTATATACCAGCTTTTTTAGGTAGCGGATACTCGTGTTGTCCAGGACTTGTGTAACATTCGGTCATAAATCCTTTGTAACGGGCTTATACATCCAGTCACAAACT